GGGTGGAGAGCCGCGCTTGGCCTTGGCAGTAGCTGTGGTGGAGCCCCTTATATTTCCCAAATGCTGATTAGGATCCGGCTGCCCTCCCTGCTTCAGCTTCCCCCCCCGCGATGCTAGATGTTGCACTGGGCTGGAGGGGCAGTGCTGGGGTCAGTGCTGCTCTCAGGGATTCCCCCCATGCCCCCCCCAACCTGTCAACACGCATCCTCTGAGTCTGGCTCCTGCCATTCCCCAAACTGGGCTCAGGGTTTTGCAGGGAAAACTTGGGAGCTCACCCAGCCCAGACGCAAGCTCCCTGGGCAGGCCACTAGCTCACCCTCTCCAGTTTTAGCAGAAAGAGGGATTTGGATGCATGGGAAGCGTCAGGGCTCCCAGCCCCGAGTCACGCCTGCAAAGGGATGGCATTTCACCTACCACCTGCCATGGGGCACGAGGCACCACGACCCATCTCCCCTGCGGATGCTGAGCATCTGCAGAGGCATCAAGCCAGCCCTTCAGCAAGGTTTTTGCAGGACTGACAGTCTCTGGGACCAGGAGGTGCCAGCAGAGGAGGCGAGCTGATGGCTCTGGGCCTTGCAGACCTGCTTAGCGCCTTCGGGCGGGCGGCGGTTGCGAAGCGCGTTGATGCTCGCAGCTTGGGTCCCAGGAGAGGATGCTGCTGCTGCCGCCGCGTGGGGTCTGTGCGGTCCCACCTGCGCTCACACCCAGCTGCGCCCGCTGGGCAGTGCTGGGTGGCACTGTTCAAATCTCTCCTAATACCGATACCAAAAAAAGGGGTATGAGGATACCGCAGAGAACCAGAATACCCTTCAGGCTTTTTGGCTGGGGGGGGCAGAGTTCCTTTGGAGGACGGGGGATGCTGTGGTGGGGAGCAAAGGCGCAGGGCAGCGCAGAGTGCCAGGGGCCAGCGGCAGTATTGGCAATTAATAACGATAGCGTCCTGACACGTTCAGAGCTGGGATGCTCCAGCAGCGCCGGAGTTCCCATCATCTTCTCAAAGGTGCAAACTGCTGCCCCCCAGCCGGGATGCCCAGCCCGGCCCGCAGGCGTTTACAGCCCCAGCTTTCTCCTTTCTCCCCAGTTTTGTATCTTTCCTTATAGTTTTTGTACAGGTAGTTGAGAGACACACTGTCCCCCTCCCCGCCTGGCCCCTCCGTGCACGCGTGAGCTGAGTTGCTGTGCAATTCCAAGCCTAGCTTGTATTTCGGCGAAGGCGGAGGGGGTGTTGGTCGCCCTGCCCGCGG